GTCGCTTTAATCTAGTGGAGGTGGGTAAACTAAAAATTAGCGAACCAACAAAAGAGTACGACGCATAATGTATAGTGAACACATGGATATTAATGTCTTAATAAACAAAAAAATAAATGAAAAAAAAAAGATATTACTCAAAAAACAGAAATGCAGAAGAGAAAAAATTACACAGTTGCAACATATACAGAACGTCAATAAGAAATGCGTCAAATGGCCAGAGGTTTTTATAGTTATGTATTTTCCCAGGACCTACAACTCTCAAGTGTCAACAGAATACTCCCAGACCCTTCCTGTTCGACGAAATTTCTAAAGAAAACTTTGAAGCTTGTCTGACTTATAACTCATATCAGAGTGCAGATTCCTGATTGGCTAACCAGAGAGTTCTGTACACACTTCTTGTCCAAGTTTGGCTTTGATTTGCATGATGTTTTTTGAAGCCTCATGCAGACATGTTATAATCACAGGCTTACACAAAAATGGCATCAACAGTTTGCTTAAAAAATGGCGACTAATCAGTCTAATGTGCGGAGACTACGAGATATTCACGAAAGCGCTCTCACTACGTTTAAAACCAGCACATAGCATCTCTAAATTGCGGTTGAGGAGCTCGAAATTTTGTCTTAGCATCTCGACATTTCCACTTAACTTCACTTCCTAGAATCCTGAGCCTGGCGTGTAAACACGAGGGCGACAAAATGAGTTATCATGTGATGTTACTTGTTTGCATTAACCCCAACTACATATGGGTTCATTTATTAACTCCTGCGTCCATCGTATAGCCTATTTGCAAGCTTTATATAAGCTTGCAGCGTTACGTTTTCTTATTAAATACATTATTTATAATCTTTTTACCAAACACGCGACAGCTGCAACACACGTTCATTGTTTTAGCAACAACAATGGTATTGATATAGACGACTGCACAAACCTTCACGTTCCTCTGATAGTTCTATGTGTCAGTATTAACATATAATATATCTGCAATGCAGTTACTCTTTGTGCGAAACATCAACAACAAATAAAGCTTTACAGTGGTTTGTTTTTGGATTAAACATCTTTTTGAGTTCTTTGTCTCGTGGAAATAATGAAGACTAAATGAAAGAAGCGGAATACAACTTGTTTATTTGACAATGCACAATGTCGCACAATGTCGCCGATTTTGAAGGTATTTTACAATAAGATATTATTCCTTGCTATTCCATCATTCTCTGCTGAGATGTTTAATGTGAAATGTCACTTGGAAATGTCTAGAATATATTTATGTTAATATAAGTATGCTTAATTAGCATAAGTTATCACAAATTAGACTCGTTCATTATTTTAACTTTTTTTTTATATCGTACAACTAATTACGAAGACGCAGTTAATGAATGCCCGGAATGAATGTTATGATTGAAAGATAGAAGTAGCTCTCACACACTCACTCACTCATTCACAGCCACACCCACACCCGCACGCAAACGCACATACGTAGATTTCTATATGTTGTGAGGAATAGGTAACAGCACCCCCTATACAAAAACACCATTTTCTCCTGCACCTACTTCCTCAAAATTAAAAAAAAATCATCAAATCTATTAAGGATACGCCCTGTTTACGCATTTTACGTATCTCAATAATTTTGCGACCTGGTTTGTTTATGCCACAGAGGACAGAATTCCTAGGACTGTGATTTTTTTGTGAGGACACGGAAATTTCAGGGAGTATCACTCATATTCTCGTTGCAAGTCCTCGGAAAAAAGGCAATTTAACAAGATATTTCACTGCTCGTCTAAAGCAGAGGTAACTGTTTCAAAAATAAACTATTCAAGGAGATGACTTTGAATAATTACCCTAAACTCTTTTTTTGATTAGAAAATATTCATTCATATTCCATGCAATGAAGTGACTGTATATGTTGATTCTACAATATTTATTGATATTCTATGCAATGAAATGATTGCATTTATTGTTCGCCAAAATATTCATTGATATTCTGTTATGTAGTGACGGCATTTTTTGTTTGCAAAACTGTCATTGATATTCCACACAATGAAGTATTAATGACTGTATTTATTGATAATCAGTGTAATTAAGTGACTTTATTTTCCCCAAAATAGCATTGCATCCATTCTTGCCAATTTTTCATTGATATCCAATTCAATGAAATGACTGCATTATTAATTGCCAACTATTCATTGGTATTCAATGTAATAAAGTGTCTGAATTATTGTTAAGTAATGAAGGAACTGTATTTATTGTTGCCAACTGTTCACTGATACAAGGAAGTGACTGCATTTATTGCAGCCAACACATTCATTACAGAGAGGGTATTCTCATACTCAATTTATTAGTACATGCTTCACACAGAAGTCAATACTGTTGTTTTAGCATATTACCAAGGCTGAAGTCATTCTCAAATTTACAAATTATACACTTATAAAGTGAATGTTTCCATCTAAAACCTAACATTTGGTTGAAAACTTGTTATTATACTTAAATGTACGCACTGAATACATGTACATAGAAGGGATCAGCAACAATTACATAAAGTAAATGATATATTCACAGCAAATGTCAATAGTGGATAAGGGGATACAACAAATGTTCAAATATTCAGGTTTTAATATACGAGGGGCACACAATGAAACCATTCGTACTTAAAAACTAAAAATATGGCAATGCTGCCTGGTGCGATGGGATGTTGTGTGTCTGACAAGTATTGAACAAGATGTGATACAGGGTTGTGGAATTGATATAACAATGTTTCATCATACTAGTATGTTATGAAGCTTTGAAGTTATTGATTGTTTATCTATTCATGCGCAACAAAGTTTGATTTTGCATAGTGATATTACCTATATTTGAAAATTCTCATTTTTAAATGCATCTCAACAAGACAAGCACCTGAACCAAAATTTACGTTTATACTGGATAATTAAATATTGACTTGTTTTGACCATAACCATACATAAAAGTACATGATAACAGATCAAAATATGAATCAAAATGAAACATTCAAGACACATGTAAGAAAGATGAAACTCATTCTTGCATGTATTACATATTTAATAAAGTAGCTGCTCCTCTCACTCCAACCAATTACGTATTGGC